CCCGCGACCCGACCCCGGATAAGCGGAGGAAGATGGATGGATGGATGGATATTACAATTTCAATTATTGGCCACCACCTACCGACCGCTTACAAAGTAAATCGTAACTTGTGATCAGGTATATGAAGCATTATAAAACTAAACTCAAGTTACATATAAATAACAGTTTAGTTAAGAAGATTTGGCTTGCTCTCTTGTTGGTTTGGTTTTCTGTTATATGCCAAGTAATAAACTGCATTTTCCTTGATAATAACACATTAATTTATTGCTGTGGGTGAAATGACTGAGTTACCCGGTTTGAAATCTAAGCAGTCTGACTTTACCTTGTCTGCCAAAAATTTGAAGGACAGCAAATACCAACATTTTCCATAAAGTGTTTCTTATTACCTAGTAATATAATGTAACTTGCTATGTTATTACCATGTTATTACAGGGTCACTGATGTACTGTAAAAGAAAGCTTGGCCAAAAAAAATACACCTTTTCAGTACATGCACCTACTTTGAGTACATTATTTTTTACACCGGCTGTTCTAAACTTTTAGATTTTTTTTTTCAGTAATTTCAAAATTCTTAAAGCCCTTTTAGAAGGTATAAAGATCAATAAACCGTGCCTTGATTAAAAGCCATCTGGTTTGAGATTTCTCATTCTAAAAAAGTAGCCATGAGAAATGAGCCCTTTGTGTCACATAATTTTCTTATTAGAATTGAACAAGAAAGGCCTCAAATTTGCTCACTTCTGAATAAAAAAAAATAGCTTAATCTATTTGTGGGACTGATGATTTTAGTTAAGACACTTATGTTTAGGATGGAGTAGTTTTTGTATTTGAATTAAAACATATTTTCTCGTTTTTATTGATGACTTATTGCTAAAGGAACAAAAAAAGCCTTTGATAGGTAGATAACAGTGATGTAGGTGTTAAGATTTCCTTTTTTATTATTTGCAAAACAAAATTAAAGTTTACCTTCATTAGCTTGAGAATTGCAGGTTTCAAGGCAAAACTCAGCTTAAAATAAGCAATTAAAGAAATGAAACTCTGAGCTGACGCACAGTAACTGAGTTTGCTTAATAAAGAAAGAAGAGAGGGTAAAAAATAAACAAGAGAGTGGGAGAATGAGAAAGAAAAAAGGGATGGAGAAACCGCAGGTAGAAGGCATAAACACGGCCAATCGCTCCCTCCATCTGCTTCTCCATCTGTGCTTCCTCAATCTACTGAACCACCAGTTAGTGACCCCTCAGTGAACACAGAGAGGGATGAAGAATGATAAAGATAGGACAAAAAGAGCAAAGGGAAAAAAGTAGAAAGGGGTTTGCTGCAGATTCTTGTCATCTGAAATAAAACATTTTCATATCACCACCTTTCAGGAAGCCTGTGTGCATTTGTGTGTGCACCGTATAGCTGCTGTTAGATGATAGTACAATCATCACTTGAGACGCATCAGCGGTTGTGACACAAACAACATTTCGTCCTTATTTCTTTTTCTCATGTCTGACTCTATCTCCTTTCTTCCAACAGGCCTCTATCAGTCCCTCTGTCATTTCGGTTTCGATGTGAACTCATACCTTTTCTCATAAGTCTCTCTCTTTCAGGCAGATTTTCTATTCCCATCTCACATGCTGTCATATGGTGGTTCCAACCCGGTGAATCCTCCCCCGCCTTCCCTCCTCCCTTCTCTGCCATGGCTCCTGCTCCCCGCTTTCTGCACATTTCCTCTCTCATCGATTCCCAGTCACTACATCTATAGCAGTCCAATAGTCCTGTCTGCAGCTCTGCTTCCTCCCACCACCTTTCTTTCACCTTTGATCCTTCCTCACTATTCTCTGCCTGCATTTTATTACTTTGCCTCCAACACAGAAAATGTGTGAATAAAAATAACCAGATTCAGCCAAAGATAGAAAACCAGAACTATTATTGCTATGGTGCTGAGGATTTTACTCTCTTGTGCTAATTTTCTACCCACACAGTTAAAAGAGTTGATCATAACATACTGAATTAGAGCAGTGGGCAGTATTGTCTGGTTGAGATTGGTTCAGATCCTATTTGTTGGACTAGGACAAAACTCCGCAGACTGAAAATGTTTTATCATTATCTCCCTTCTATCTCCTCTTTCTTTCATCTTTTCTCATTTTTTTCTGTTTTTCTTCTTCTATTCTATTTACATTGCAGTGTCCATATAATCTGTAAAACTCCCTGCATAATTATAATAAAGCAACTTATATGCATAAAACAAGCGGAACACTATGGCACTAGCCCTACTGCTCCACTTGTGAAAGTAAAATCTGCTGGGCTCTTTTTGGCATCAAGACAATTATTATTATTGCCACATTGCCAGACAGGACACTGTTAAAAAACACACAAAAAAACCTCCGTTTTGGTAATAACAGCTTCAACCCCATTTGGAGTTCATCAGAGCTTAATTCTCTGGCTACTTTTATTTAATTTCTGTATCTTCTGCATAGCTCAGAGTATAAAGCATTGCAACATACTTTACTTTTTACTTTGACAGGACCAAAGTCTCTTACAATCACAAGCAATTTTACTTATGACATCAATAAGTGGAATGAGACAGAAATCCCTCCTGCTTATTGTTGGATCACACAAGTCCAGACCAAGACCAGGAAAATGGATTAAATCACATTAAAGCCAAATATCTGACTGTTTTTCTATTTATAAAACTACTTTCTTAAATAGTTACTGGTCTATAATGGACTCATGCTATGAACCATCTTTGCCTCTCAGGGCAACAGGGACCTGTTTACTCGGTGCCTTCTGAGTATTCAACATTACCTCTGATTGACACTGACTATATTACATCTGTGCTGTCATCTGTGCTGAAGAGTGCCAATAAAAATAAATGTATGTAGGATCTGTTCATGCATCTGGATAGCACACTGTCTTATTTTTCTCCACTCATGTCTGCCTTTCTTACCAGCTCATCTGGTCATTAGAATTTTTCCCCCCATTAACTATAAAAAATGGACTCCATCCCTATCTCTGATTGACGGCAGCGCCAGTGGCTATTTATTGCATCGACTAGTATGGCTGTTATTTGTGACGGATAGAAAAGATGTAGAGAAGAACAATAATATTTGTTTATTGCAATTTTCCAAAAGCAGTCAATAATACTGTATATAAAGCTAACTTTAATCCTGATTTAGTTATCTATTTGTTCTAAATATGATTGCTAATCTATGTGAATAAAAGGGTAAGATTTCTACCCATTCTCTTTGTAATTTAATTTAGTTCTTTCTGATGTTTAAGGGACTTTAAATTACTTTTTGTTTCATTGGTTGTATACTAATACAAATGCATTGCTCCTTTCCTCACTTAATGCCCTCCTCTATGCATCAGAAGAGAGCTAGTTGAGGGTATACTGTATTTTAGCTCTTTTATTTGAAAAGGACTTTAGTCCCATTTTTATCTGCCATAAATTTTTATGAGTGTGCCTTTTTAGCACATCAGGGCGAGTACTGTCATGCTGATGTAATCTGCTAGGATGGGGCTTTTAAAGGAAGAAAAGCATAACTCAAAGGTATAATGAATAAAAATTTTACGACCCAGTATAACTGATGATGATAATGTATTTTCGACCGGTGGATGGGAGTGTTTCTGACTTAACTACTTTATGCTTTTCACCCTTCAACATCCGTCATGTGTCACTCAATCAGTTGGCAGGATTCACTGTTCTCAGTGTGACAAATTACACATCTGTCAGAATGACTGTGTGTTATTTAAATCATGACATTTAAAAAAGAATCACAAAATGTTGGTGTTTAATGACTTTTTTTAGTTCGCTGACTCATCCCTATTGTGAGAAAGAGGGTTTATCATGGATGAACAATAGTACAGTCACAGTGTTTTTCTTCTCACCTCTCTCCTGCTAGTGTCTCAACATTCTCACCTCGCTCGCAGGAGCGCCCCAGGTACCCGGTCCCAGAGCAGTCACAGACGTAACGGTTCCAGCCCTCCCTGCAGTTGCCATTGTGCTGGCAGGGGTTGGACAGGCACTGTTTGGGCAGCTCTCTTGAGCAGGAAGGCTTCACTCCGACTGCCCGCTGGGCCTCAGCAAGCCTCCTGATGTCTTTACTCTGACCGTCCACAAACAGGTCTCTGATGCAGCCTACGTAGCCGTAGTTCAACAGGGCTGTCCAAACCTGTAGAGCAAATAAGCAGCATGCAATGATTTTTTTTTTATATATGAAAAAAGAAAGTTACATATATTTCTTGTTAAGTGCTGTAGAGATTTTTGTAACCTATGCTCTGCTCAAAAGCCATGCATGTGAAGGTAGGTGTTTCAAGTAAGAGTATCAAGTATGACGTTGTGTTTTCTAAGGGTTGAGATGAGCTGTGCTGACCAGACTGACTGTCAACACTCAGTTAGAAAAGCATTGACGAAAAAGCATGAAAAGGACTATAGGTATAAAGGGTAACACTCTCAGGTTTCTGATACTGAAAAATGTTAGCCACTAGTGATGCTATTATTAGCATTGACTATCAACAATAAACAACATGTTTTTTTTAAAGTTTTTATGGCAAAGGAAAGCGAATATGAGAAAGGGGGAGAGACATGTGGCAAAGGATCACAGATCAGATTCAAACCCGGGTCGCCCGTATCGGGGATTAGGCATGCCCCAGTTGTTCTTCCTTTGTTGTAATCAGAATATGATCATTTAATACTGGAGACCAATTGAACATCAGAGGTGGATAATTCAGGTCCAGAAAGTAAAACTCCTGTGCAGAGATCAGTTCCAACCATTTCCAACTCCACAATGCAGACTAAACACCCGAGGGGCTAATCACCTGGTTAAAAAAACAAATGAGGAAGGAAAACAAGGCAAGGTTTTCACTTTCAGGACCTGGATTATCAACCTCTGTCACAGACTGATATTAATTACAACTTGATTCGGTTGTGAATAACACTAAAATAAAATAAAACCTGGATTCAATTATTCTGAATTGATTGCATATTCATTAAAACTGTTTATTTAACCCCATGCTTTATCTATTAATTTGTATTAAAATGTATTTTCTCTTCTCTAAGGCAGTAAAAATTAGGTTCAGTTGTTAACTGGTTTAAAAGTCTCTTCTCTGATCTGGAATAAATAGAATATTATTTTCTCAGACTAATTAGAATTTTTGTGACTTTAAAGTTAACAAGTCCTCTAAAAAGTTTTATTTTGCAAAAAGGATTTTTCTTTACATTTATATGGAAAATAACACAACACAAAAATACTGATGCATAAGTAAGGGGCAGATTTTTAGGTGTTTTAGCAAAATAAATCATTGCTACAAATTCAATTTAACATTTAAAAGGTTTTATATTAACAATACTTAGATTATCTGGTTAGGTTAATTGTATACATCTTTAAACATTACATTCCATAAAACTAGGACAGAAACAAAAATTGGTTTATGGATTATGACCACCTCTGTGTATCTGTACACTTAACCTGTTGCTTTAATAATTAAGTGTCTTGATGTACTTTGAAACTGTTAAGTAAATGTTTCATTCTTGTGCATAAAAAAATTTGTTTAGTCGTTCAAGCATTAAAAATAATTACGTTACATCAAGAGTAACGGGAGAAAATTTAATAAAACTAAAGCCTTTAATATTCATTATTGCAGAAAACAGAGCAGAAAAGGGTCGGAAACAAACAATTGTAGGCATATTGCTCTATATTGTTAGCACATTTAATAAAAGAAAAAAAACAGCCTAGAAGAATATTGATTTGTACTTTTTTTATGATAAATTTTAAGAAATATTACTTTTAATCTTTTAGAAAGTATAGTAACCTTTTCCCTAGAAACCAGTCATGATGTTATTGCACATACTGGAAAAGTACATAAAGAGAAGGCCCTGCAAAGCAGAATGAAAACCAAGGAATACAAATGTTTAGCATAATGAAAAGGTAAGGCAAGGTGCTCATTAAGAGTAAATAATGGATGGCAAAATTGACTCCCTTCCTTTGCTTATCACTTTTGCATAAAGCACCCAGAAATAATGAGTCGATTCTTGTGCAGAGTGAGTCTCTTCCATGAAGCAGGGACTCTTTGCAGGTGGGAGAAGGCGTCACTTTAAAGCAACGTGGATCTATCAGAACCATCTGAGTTAATTCTGCCATTAATCAAGTACAAGCAATGTGCCGCAAAGAAAAACACACATCATCCATCAACTGCTGAATAATGCACTGCTTGGAATGCAGAGCTTTTAGCTGATATGGTAGGGTTTTATATCCATTTAAGATTACCTGTTTGTTGGTATATCAACACAAACAGGTCGTGTTTAATCGACCATATTATAAATGTAGGCATAAATGCCACTTTAGCTGGGAAATCTTGGCATGGTGTCAAGAAAAAAATTACCTGATATGCAGCTGAAATGACGCAGCATCTTTTTGCAAAGCTTTAACTATATAAGGAACAACAGCAGTGGAACCAATTAAACATTAATCAGACAAATAATTACCTACTGGTTAAACTGACTTAAAAAAAAAATCGAAAATGTCTAATTTTACTTGTTAGTTTACTGGATAGGGGAAGTTAAATAAAACACTACAGAGCAGGCAGATCAATATAGTGTCCATTCACTACAGTCAGATCCTTTCTTACAAATAAACTTAAATAATCAATTTCAGGTTAATCGACTAACTACATTGCAAGCTAAAAATAAATCACATCACTTTAGCTTTTTCATATATTTCTACCAGTAAAAACCTAATCTTTACGGTGTTTTATTTAGAGTTTTTAGGCATATAAAAATTTAAAATAGTGCATAATGTGAAGTGAAGGACATTAAAGGCAGGGAAGAGGATTTTATGGTGGAAGATATGTACATTTGGTGTTTGTATATTTTTGAATCATGCACATGCGTCACGGCCCCCTCCTTCACATTCTTTTCGACCATAAATGCTTGAGTTTACACAGAAGAGAGAACAAGTAGCTGCAGCAGCAAACAGGCGTAGGAGTACTTCTTCACGCTTCAGCGTAATGGTGGACCGCTAGCCAAACAGGGTACGATTTACGCTTGGAGCCTACGTACAGTATATAACGTCATGGCGCCACCTACACAAATTGTTTGAAATTATATATATGAATTTATATTATATATTTGGAACAATAAGTGCAAGACTTTTAGCCATCAATTAAATCATTTTAGATTAATCTGGACACTTAATTTGTAAGAAAAATCCTCTGTCATACCTTTACTGTTTTTATTAATAAATAAATATCCGAAAAGTGTGGTTTTCTTTAATATCTAGCACTGCAAATAAAGTTTAAAGTCTTTAGAGGTATGTCTTAACCAGCATTGCACTTCTAGAACCAAATTTTTGTCTTTATTTCTGAAGTTAAATCAAATGGAGAGTCTCTTAAAACCAACCAAGTATTGCCAGAAAATTCTGGTTAGAGGTGGGTCTAGGCCAGGGGTAACCAATGAAAAAGCGAGGTCCGAATAAAGAAAACAATCAACCAGTAAAGGTCTGGAGACATTTTTAATTATAAACAGAACTTAACACTGAAAATAAAATGCAGGTGTTTATGCATCCATGTTATGCATTTAATTTTTAAATAAAAAATATAAAAAATAGAAAGTTTTTCAATTTTAAAATCTAAATTATTTTTGAAGTAGGGAATGCCAATTCTCAATCACATATCAAGGTGCTTATTTTGAGCTTATTTTGAGTATGTTCATGGTGGAGAATCCTGCTTAACAGCAGTATGTTGAGGCAAAACATACTCAAAATGTGCATGGTCATCTTTGTGCATGCCATTTCACTTTTCTGTCATCAGTTCACTGTGCTTTCTCCAGCATTCCACACTTTCTCTGCTCTCTTTTTCTCATCGTCTGCTCCTTCTTACCCACCGCTCCGGAAGGCTTTACCATACAAACAGGAGAAGCGGCGCAAGTGAAGTGAGACACTGTCATCGGACAAACATGGAGTCATTTATAAATGTTTTAAATCAGGTCGGGTCCGGATTAGCCAGCAGGTGGGTCTGAATCTGGACCGCGGTCCGCTAATCTGTGACCTCTGGTCTTAGTCAATATAAAAGTCAACCCTTCCTCTGTATCTCTGGCTCTGAGTTCAGGGTTGTTGTCCAAAGTCGAGAGATAAATTTAAAACCTATCTACAGAGTCAAGCCTCATTATTACCAATTTAGCTGCATCCAGTTTCCCATCTTATCTGAACCATTTATCCGTCCCTCCTAAAAAACAGCATTCTGTCGTGGCTGATGCTGCCATCACCATATTTCATACTGTGAGCTGTGAGGTTAATGGTTCCATGTAAAACTTTTAAAAAATACATTGAAGTTTGCTGTTGGAAAATGACAATATATCGAAAATTTAAAGGGAACAAATAATTTTTTGTAACTTTTTATTTCAGCTCTGAAATGAACAGAGATGCAGGCAAAGCATTAAAACACACTAACCTCTGTAGGAAAAATGAGACCGGCGCGATCCTCTGGTAATCCTCCGAGGTACAGGGTGTCATCCAGGTCCAGGATCTCGCTGTCCCCTGGCGCCGTGTACGCTGTTCTCATGCTATTCACCGAGATCGTTCCTATACACGTCAAAACAACCTTTAGAATTTTCCTGACCTTCAGCATGAACATTTTCATCATAATCTACAGTGTCATCGTCAGCACCACCTCCATTGTAACAGCTGCCATCATCATTCTTCCTCCTCCTCATCATCACCCACACATCACTGTTATAATCAGAGGTAATTGAAATCCAACGCTATACATGATGTATTAATCACCCTGAAAGCTAAAGCATGCTGTAGTTTAATTTATTTCGAGAGTTAAAGTTTTGTATAGTTTTAAAAACTTCACACATTAAGTTTACAGCACTTAAAAATTCAATCAACAGTTATTATTGTATGTTCATTTAGTAAATTGCAAACTATTTACCTTTCTTTGAAGCATATGTGATTTAAATAAAATGTATTCAAGCAAAAAGGATGAAGTTCAGCAAAAAAATTATTAAATTGCCATAAAAGGCAATTTTAAACAAGTAATTCAATTTTAGAATCAGGATTGTATCTAATAGTTAAGACTGTTAAAAACTTAAGAGCAAAAGTAATAGAATAAAGAGCTTTGAATATCTTGCAAAAAAGACTCTGGGATTTATCTAAATGTTTTCCAGACTTCATGCCTGCATCCCTACTCCCCCTGATAGGAATATTTAGCCATTTGGTTGTTGTACAAACAATTATAAAGGAACAGTAATAAGATAGCTGTGGATGCAAGCTAATAACACTATTTTAAATATGCCCTTACTAAGATGAAGGGATGGCACTATGACAGAGCGTGACTGTTTCCTTTTTTGTGCTTTGGCTTGATATTTGCCAACCCCAGCTGGGTTAAAATGGCTACATTCAATATTGTGCCACCAGTAAATCATTAATTCACTTATTTTCAGACATTTATACTTTTACAACATTCAAACAAGACCCCTGTTGAGAACGCTGGCAGCCTATACCAAAGGCTTTTAGGCTATAATTACGACAGGTAGAATAATAGCTGCACACGAGTGAAAGACTGGGTGGAACATATGAACAAGATGAATAAAATACATCTTTGGTTTTCAAAGGGCTCTGTTTAAACACACATATCATTAGGAGAAAAAAATGTTAGTTACTAACGAGACGTGTTTGTAAATTCTGTCAAATTTATTTCAGATATATTTTTACGCCTGTAGATGAACAATTGGCTGTTTTGCATAAATTGGTTTTGCTATTAGGTTGTGAAATGTTAAAGATTTAACATAAAAAATAGCCTTAAACCACTCTCTAGTTACAAAGGATATATAGCTGTGATTCTAAGTTTTTGTTTATATGTCCATTTATAGTTTTCTTTGAATTTGCATCGTTTTTAAATTTCTTATTCACAGGAGCTAACCTGTATTCTGTGTGGCTGGCATGAGGTCGTTTCAGTCATATTTTTTCTTCATAATTTGACAACAATCAAGAAAAGAATAAAATTAAGCCAAAATTCTTTAAAAAAATTTTTTTTTGGCCTCAATGTTTTACTGAAGCCAGCTGATCAGATCATCACAGAAAATACAAACCTAAAGGAAACAAGAAGTTCTTATCATGACAAAAGATAGACAGATACATCAACCGACTGATGTTCTTGGCTGATATTTGTGTTTTTTCTTGTATTAGTACTAGCAGGTACACACATTTTGCCACTTCGTTAGTGCATTAAGTGGCCATGCCCTGAGCAGGTATGAAGGGCATGCATTGCCACTGCCTTCATTTGCTATTCTTGTTGGTGTTTTATATGATTTGATAATAAACGTTTCTATAAATTAAGACTCTTGTCTGATTCTGCTGGAGGTTTATTCCTGTACAAAGGTTTTTTTTCCTCTCCACTGTCGCTGCAAGCATTCAAGGTGTGAGGGATTGCTTTCGAGTCAATGAGACGATGCAATCAGCTGGTTTTCCTTAGATGGAAAACTTTGAACCAATCTGACTGCATAATTTGGTTGAATTGTCTATGTAAGTGCCTTGAGATGACATTTGTTGTGAATTGACGCTATATAAATAAACTGAACTGAAATTATGTAGCATTTGTTATCCTTGTGTTGGTTTTAGTTATGTAAATAGAGGAAGAAGATACAATACAGGTCTTTAAAAACTTATCTCTATTCCTATCTGTAATAACTACTTCATTCGACTGTGTTTTCAGTTTACATTTGCCTGTCAAAAAAATACCCCAAAGATCTATAAGCTATATTGCAAATACGTGTATAAACTAATGATACATTTAAAAAAAAAGATTGTTATAGTCCAAATTTGATCAACTTATTGAATGAAAGGTGAAAACATAAACAGTTGAAATGTTTGGTTCTAAAATCGCAAAAATGTGATAGCTAGAAACTGTATTCTTGTTAACATATAGACAGAGCTGAGTTTACCTGAGCGTCCGTCTCTCTGGAAGTCGACATGATACCATTCGCCGTCGTTGACCTTTCTGTCAATGGCCCTGGTCTTTGTGGTTCCTGAGCCCATGTCCAGCAGCAGGTACAGGTGACCATCCAGCATTTCAATGGCAAAAAAATCCACCTGTATGTTCGACATGAACTGCATCAATATGCGAGAAAGTTGTTGGAAAAAGGAAAAATTTAAAGAATAATTGCATGTGTGCAAGTTCATCCCAATAAACATGAATTTTTTTTAGACATTTTGAATTGTTTAATTCAAAAAGTGACGCTAATTTGTTACATCAATCCAGGTAGCATGTTTCTAATTCTACACACACACACACATATATATATATATATATATATATATATATATATTTATATTTATAATCATGATGACTGACATTTACTGACATTCAATACAAGGATGTTAACCTACTAGCTAAAATAAAGCTGTCTGTCACTGACGGATTTATCTAAAAACATTTATACAAATTAGAGTAGAAGGAAAACCTTCAGAAATAACCACAGCTTTTAGATGATGTTGAACTTATTTCTGCTTGCAGGTACTTTGGACAAAGTTGCCTCACATCAAATTGGTTATTTGTTGCCCCGGCATAATTAATTGATGTCTCTTTTGTGTCCATGCGTCCTCTTCCACTTGTTAACATTTGAATTATTGTTCAAAAGTTACAGATGGTCAACTAAATAGGACTTAGCTATTTATATAGGTTTTCTTATACATAAAAAACAAGACAAATCTGACTCACTTATGCAATACTTATGCAGCTTTTGTTTTTCCCATTTTGAAGAGAGACTACTGTAAGTGCGATATTTATACCCTGAGGATGCAGACACTCATGGACTGTGTACTAGAATTTCCTAAATATTGTCATACATAAAATGTTCCTTAGTTCAATTTATAGTGCAGGAGTGCCTGCAATAGACTGCCAACCTGGCTAGGATGTACCCCTACATTTTCTATTCAAGGACTAAGCTGCTGCAAAAAAGGTTGCATTACATCTTTTTGTCTGCACATTTTTACTGGGGCACCAAAAATGGAAGACACTGTTTGCTAACATTTGTGTTTAAAAATTATATTGATAGGTCCTCACATATTATATAACACTATCATGAACAAGTTTCACTTGAATTTGTATGTAGGCTAATTGTTTTTTTTAAATGTTTTAACTTGCATTTAATTCAACCATTTGCCTAAATTACATACAATACACATTTTTTTTAACTTAATCTTGACTTTTTTGTAATTAAACAAATAAAATTTGAGCATTATCTTTTGGTCTGCTATTTATCGTACTATTTTAGTCTAGCCTAAAGTCAGTGGTGCATTTAGCTTCACCTTGACAGTAGGAGGGGTGCGGGGGTCTTTTCGCTGTTGTTGTCTGGGTTTGCCATGGCTGAAAAGCATCAACCCGTTTGGCTCCGTGGTCCTGAAGTCAAACGAAATTGATCCCGCCTTCTTCGCCATCCATTTGCTCAAAGCCACGAATGACTCCGGTGTGTCAAACGTCACTGGATCCAGTGTTGCTACACTTTCGCACTTGAAGGACACCACACCACTGACCTGTGAGGGGTGCAGAAAAAACAAAACTATAAAGAGGTTTCAAGAATTTTGCAATTTGTTTTTTTAAATCACTCCACTGAAAGACAAGGCAAATAAATGTCCCCTTGTAGTCTGAGACTGAAAGGAAGCCAGCTCCCAGCTGTGAACAGAGGGAAGACCAAAGAGGTTGAGTGCCTCTGACAAATGTAATCCCATTTAGTTGAATTCCTTGTAGTTTAAGACTCATGAGACATGGCAGGAGGCTGTGATACAAACAAGTGCATATGTTGTATCTAAGAGGATAATGCATTGTTTAACGTAATAAAGTGAATACCTTCATCTTTGGGTCACCCTGTTTGGCCAGTCTTGAAAGCTCCAACCGTACATCATTGTTCTTGTACACCACCTTTACAAAGGACAATGGAAATGAAAGAAACACATTTAGATTCAGTAAAAAAGAAAAAAATAGAAGCTAGGAATGTTACAATAATAGTGAATATCGTGATGGACCGCTGAAGAGAAAACTTTAAGAAAAACCCTTTTCACAATTTTGGAAGTGTAAATATTTTATTTGTGAAAAAAATTGTTTAATCATATTTGAGTTAGGATTTTCCTGGGCTATGTTTCAGTGCAATTATCTCTACAGTCTTTCATAACTTATACATCTATAAGGCAATAATATAAATGTAAAGTGACAGTTTTTGTGATCTTTGTTTTTTTAGGGTTGCTCAAGAAGGTGATTGCTGTTCATTTTTCTTTTTCACTGATTTTAAATAGATTTTAGGTGAAGACCTTGTACCCAAATTACGTTTTGATCTAAAACATCCCATCATAGCTCTGCTGTCACTTCCTCTAACACGTCCTCAAGCCTTTTTCGACGTCTACCACGACTTTTCTCAGAAATTCCTCTGTTATTAGAATATCTCCATATTTCCAAACCCATCATTGTGAAAGAAAAAGGGATTTTTCTTTGAATATCAAATCAAAACATTTAGGAATATATCTTTTTTCAACATTTGCAGCAAAACTTTGTGGGACAGTTAAAGGAGATTAATGTCTCGACTATGTTTATAAGTAAATGATTAATGCAGCAGCACTGAATTAAATTCTTAATGTAAATATTCACATTTTGGACAGAGTTGGTTAGTTAGTTTCTACTATTTACTGTATTATTCCTCATTGACTTTTCAGTCGAGTTTTTTCCAACGTGAATTAAGGACCACTGCAGTAGATGAACCTCTTGGCTGCTTCTCTAAGTAATGATCTCCTTGTCTTGTCTGTCAGTGTAGGTGAAAAGCAACGTCTTAATAAGGCTACAGTTGTACTTAAGGCTTCTCACACTACTTTATCTGACCTGTCTATATTCCTTCAGCTTTGTGGTGCTGTTTTATCAAAAACAAATCTTTGTGGGCTTTAGTTGTACTTATGAGATCAAAGTAGACTTAGCTAAGCTCTATTTATTACTTAACTGACTTCTGAAGCCGAGCGTTTGCACTGAATTTCATTTCATGGTATCAGAGTAAAGGGGACATAACGGATGCAAATGAATATAACATCTGCAAACAATCTTTTTGTTATTATCTTCTCCTTTTTGTTGGTAAATCATACGAATCTGTATACCATTAACCTCTTTTCAAGTTTAAATGCTTTAGCATTTTTATTGGAAAGCAGAGACATTGAGTGCACACATAGCCTCTTTAAGATCAATCCTTTGAAATGTCCTGACTCTTCCACTTTCATCAGAGCTTTTTCAATTTCATCCCCGTTTGCGTTTACTCTTCTTTCATTCTCCTTTCCACGACACAGTCTGCATTATCACTCTGCAGCATGAGTGTAAAGAGTCCGCCTGTGCTGAGCATTCTGATGCTGACAGGGACAAGCTAACACAGGCTCCTCTTTAATAAACCAGATCTTCTCATATGACCTTTGAGCAAAGCTGGTCCTCTGCATTGGCTTTCCACTGCTGTTTTTTCATTTACTGTTCGTCAGGGGCATTTGGATGTGTTTGCAAGGATGCTAAGGTGACTCTTGAAAATAATAACTTCTGCAAAGCAGTGTTACCATGTGGGAGCGTGTATGTGTGGAAGAATGCGCCTACAGTGCATTAAATGCTGAGAATTGTTATAGCTGCAATTGTTCATGCGTGTGATTGGCTGCATACATCCTAATTTGCTCACATGGATTATCATATCATTGTATTAAATATGTAAATTCGGGAGTGAAGGGTTCACTTTGACTGTGGCAGTCTTGTTTAAACACCATCAGTCTTAATGGAGCAACACAGAGAGCATTCAGCACCAATACAGATAGCTCTCTGTTTGGCACATCATCTGTCGGCTTGTTGGGTTGTTTGTTTATGCCTCTGTGTGAATCCTGTGTGAATGAAAGGGAGACTTAGGTTGTGTATTGCATAAGTAAGACAATGTTTGCAAATATAGGTGGTTAGTATTCAAAGGTCCATTTATCTAAGTTTAATCATTCTAATTTTCTGTGTTTTTGTTGGATGATTTGTGCAAAGGAATATGTCTCTACACAACAAAGATTAGATTTATCGGCATGCAGACGGGTGCGTTCCTGTGTTCTCGTATGTGTTTCATGCTAGTCTTTGCTGCTGCGTTGTTGTGGCCCATTTCAAGCAGAGCGGATGGAGCGTCTCTGTGGCGTAGCTAATTAGCATGTTAGAGCTTAGTGCAGTATCTTCTCCCTCAATGACACTCATCACTGATTCCGTCTGATGCTGGATGGGATGTGTGTGTCTGGGACTGTTTGTGTGAGTCTGCCAAGTGGAAGAATGTCGGTGTGTGCGTATTAGGAGATAACGTCTGTGAAATGTTTGTGTTGTGTGACATAGAGAGAGGGGAAAAGCTTTAGAGGGAAGTAAAGTATAACAAAAAGAGGACCATTTTATAAAAAACTTACATTTTTGTAAGGTAAGGATAAATTAAAAGCGAAATAAAATCAAAACAGATATGTTTCTTTTTTCTATTTTTTTTTAAAACATACATGTTTCTAAGACTACATTCACAGCCTGAAGTGACCCAAATCCGATTTATTTGCACGTATGCGACCTGTATCTGATCTTTTCATGACAGTCTGTACGACACAGATACGATTTTCTCCAGTGCGACCCAGGCCACTTGGCTATGAGGTCCTGAATCCGATACGTATCTCATTTTTTCAAATGCGACCTGCGACTGAAAGGCTAGGTCGCATTCATCCGACCTGAACGCTATCAATACTCGACACACGTCTCTACTATGGGTCTTGTTACGCAGAAGCAGGAAGAAAAGCAACCATGGCGGACGATAATGCAGAGAGTAGTCTTTATTTTTCAACCATCTTGAAAAGATTGTGTTGTAAAAGCGTTGAATGAGGTAGGGAAAGAAATTAAATATTGCAAGATGTGCTCCAGGACTCACTTCCGTAAACACAGAGCACACCTGCTTGTGTCGTCATTGCGTCCTCTACTGCGCATGCTGGACACTTAACTTATATAAATGCAGTTCAAACAGGAGATCATATACAGGTCGCATATATTTGGAAATGTGAACAAAATAATTGGATTTCACAAAGTCAGAATTGAGCATTATTGCCTGCAGTGTGAATGCTACCTAAGTGGGATGGCTACTCATAAATCTGTATAGGGAGCTTAACATTAGGGTGATGGCACAGAGGAGGACAGAGCAAGAGCTCTCCTTGAGAGCTCTCCTCCAAAAGCATCATAGGAGTCTTTTTGGTGCAGAGAAAGAACAAAGATGGCGCAGGCACCCTGTGTAGAGCATTATGTGACCATTTTGGAGCGAAAAGTAGTGAAAATTTGCCCATACGGTCAGTCAATTGATGTCATTATAAAATTTGCTGTATCTTCTCTGCTCTATATAGCTTTGGGGGGCTATTGGGGTTAGGACAGATGTTCAGAAACAGACTTTGAGCTTATTAAACAGAAAAAAAAACTCTCAAAACATCAAGGAAAACATGCAAATTAAAAACAGCAATTTAAAGAATAATGAACTTGAATCGCGTAATGCCAATACATTTTTTTTTACTGATTATTGAAAGGGGCATAAATATGTTGGAGAAGCCTTTTTTTTAAAATAAATAAAATCTAATATTTTTCCGAACTGAACATCCTTTTCCATTGTCTTGTATCTTTTTAGAGAAGATTTTCTCATTTCCACCAGAAATAAATTCACTCATCACATTAAAGAAAATGGGAATTTAAATACACCAGTAGCAAGTTGCATAATCAGAATAACAACTAAGGCTTAACTATGTACTTATACAGACTATTTTGTTCAAATGTTGTCAATAATACTACATAATTTGCCCAATATCACTATTTTAATCATCCACCAATAAGCATGCATCACACCTCTTTGAGACAGCCCATGAAATTGTTGCTGACAGGAGAACCAGGCAGGTCTGCAGTGCTGGGACTCCCTCCCACATAGAAGAAGTCATCAGAGCCCAGCATCGTGTAGTCCTCCTGCGTGTAGCCCGTCGTGGTCAGGATCCCATCCACAGAGATCGTCACCTACACAACAAAGCACAGGGAAAGGACACGCTATATACTCACACCAAAGGCAGCGCTAAGCCCTAGCTAGGCGCTGACCAGCCAAATTATCCCCCATTACTGTAGTACCAAAATGTATGTGCTTTCTGTTTGAATTGGTTTTGAAGAAGGGATGGTTGTGTTTCTGGTGGGATTTGATTTATTGAAAGTGAATCAGTGCTGACAGAGAAGTTGAACTGAACTGATCAGATTGTGGACTTTCCTGGTAATACTACCGTGATGTCTGTGCCATATGACTCAGTCTCTCCGAGAGTTGGACGTGGTCCTGGCAGCTCCAGATTGTAAATAGCAGTAAAGCCATTATTCAGAATGGTGACGCTGTCTGTGATTAACTTGGACTTGCTCAAACTGAAAGCTTTGGCGGAGCTAATATTGGACTGGGACTCTTAACCTACAATTTTTTCATGTACTATAATTAAAAAATAAGTAGAAAAAAATACTTATCCACCCTGCTAAATGCAGAATCAGAGTAAATATTTGCTTTTTTTAACCTTAGTGTCTTAATAAAGAAAGGTTTCTAATGATTAGCTTCTAAGCTGCTCTACAGCTTAGTAAAAATGTAACAGGATTTACTTACTAGTATATAAACACCATCTCTCCTGAATGGTTTACCTACAGAGACACTATGTGTTCTGTAATTCAATTAGCTCACTCTGCTGCATAATAAGCCTCTATAGGGGCTTTTAGCCGTCACAAAGATCTAATGCTGTCACATGCAAGTTGCAATTAGTTTTATCACTCAGATTTTCTGCAGTACATTACTGACCATGTTTAACTGCCTATAAAGCTTCAAAGCACATTACTTTCCCACTAAGATACAGTGTTAGCATCGCCAGGCAAATTTTGCCCAGCCAAGCAGCTGTTAGTTAGGTCCTCACAGGCATCTCCGTGCTTCACAGCAGGTGTTAGTACTATTTACTGGTTAGTAGTTGTTAGTTGCAGCTCTGCTGACAAGCAAAGTGGTGTTACTTGTGGTGGGTTACTGAGATCAGAGTTAATGATGTATGATGCTGTTAGTAGTTGTGATGATATCATGTAGTTGTGTAATTTGTGATGATGGTGTTAGTTAGTTTGTGGTCTGAGGGGGGTTTGTTGGATCAGCGAGTCTCAATGAGATGACACACAGAAAAACACACGTGTTATGATGTTCACACAGGTGTTAGCAAGGCGGAGGCTCATTCCAAAAAACACATGAATAGAAAGAAACATGCAGCTTGCTCCTCTTTTCTGCATGCAGCCACTGGCAAAGAGGAAACAGCAGATAAAACCAAAAACAAAGGTGGGTTAATGACTCAGAGGAACCATGAGGAACATGCATGACAGATCCAAGGACGATAAAAAATTAAAAAAGGAGGAAAAAAAGGCGAGAAAAGGGAAGCCTCTCAATCCACTTTGTGGAATAATCAGCGAAGGATTTCTTAATCAGGACATGCAGGGAGGGTGGGGCTCAACATTTGCGTGCATGTGAGAGATGAGCCAAATCTGTGCACGCCTACGAGTCATTCACAAAGTGATGGAGTGAAAAAAAAATAGAAATAGAGGGAGAAAAATAGTTTGTTTTTTTAAAATAAAAAAGTGGTTGGCAAGAAGAAGGGAAAGGGGGCCATTTAAGTGTAAGAGATTACCAACCGCATTTATCCTTTTATTGGTTTACTTTTTTATGTCTATGATTCAAAAGGAAATAGACACAGGGAAAACCCAAACTAAGAAACAATTAGAATGATATCTACCGAACAATGGAGTTTGTTTACCATAGCGTGTCCAATGCCTGAGTGCTTTGTAGGAGAGGGGGAGAAAGGAAGGCAAAAAAACTGTGAACATAACAACTCCGGGAACAAAAAAAGGAAAGAGCTAGAAGGCCTCTGGTGAGATTAGTAGGTTGGTTGGAGTGGTTTTGCTAGGAGAAGGGCACAGGTTAGGTTAGTAGAATGAATCATTCCATGAATGGTGGTTAGTTTCACTAGCAGGTTAGTTCAGTTAGTAGTCAGGTTAGTACAAACAGGCAAACGGTTGAGGCAGGTCACAGAAAGCACCTGAGTGCCGGTGGATCCTCAGTGTTCTAGTTCACTCTCTCATATTTGTTCATTTACACACTCGCTCACAAGCACGCAGTCGACTGGGAAAGCACTCACCTAGAGCTGAAAGCAGAGCTGGCCTGGTGGTTAACCCACTGTAAACTAAGATCGAAACCTCAGGTGTTTTCTTACTGCCACAGCATTGCTGCAGCTGAACAACAGTACGCTGATGACAGCTTCTACATTGATTATTTTCTGCCTGCAGACTACAGTCCGCACAGTATGCGGTTCACCAAAGCCAAATACACACCGAAGCTGCCCAAACTAAACACATTCATCAGTTAGATCTTTGAAACATTGGATGAATTAAACAAAAATACATTCTGTATGTTTGGTTTTTCATTTTGAAATTAACAAAATAAGAGCTTTGTATCCAAAGAAGGGTTGGTAATATCAAAGAAAATTTAAAAATAGCAGGATGTGACATTTTAAGAGCTTTAATCTGAAATAAAACTGATCTTTTTAAAAGCAAACCTCTTCAAGCTGAATACAAGTTAACAATTTGTGATTTCTTCCTCAACTTAAATTCTACTTAATCATTTAGAACTGTAGCTGATTTATTTTTAGGAAGTCACAACACATTTAGCTCCAAAGGTGAGATAAATAAGAGTAAGAATAGACAAGAAATTAGAGAAACATTTCTTTTTGTGTCAATTTATTGTTCTCAAGATTATTAAATGTTTTAAAAATAACAAATCATGCTTTAAAGTATCTGTAATCAGAGTAATATCCCAGACAGTGTTCATCAAAAATGTCTTTAAAAGAAGAATGCATTGTTTTATGTAAATTAGATAAGGGGGTTTGTTTTAAGGAATCTATGACATTAGTGATGATTCTGTTAAGGACTGATTAGTTTGACTATTCAAGCTTGAGGATGATCAAAGGCCCATTAAAAACAATTAAAACAAAGCTGTGTTTCCATCTGGAAGACTCTGCTACGCCTTACCTGCACATCCCGATTGCCACGTCATCCAGATTTACCTCTGCCAACCTTCTTCTGCTCTCCAGGCCTCGTGAACATTTAATAGCATCCAACAGTGTTTTTTAACCACATACATCGCCCTGGTCTACCTCCTAACCCAATCAACTTCCTTCATCTTCATTCGCATGAATCTACCCATTCTATCATGATCAGCAATGTCTTCCATGTTGAAATAGCTGTTTGACTTAACACAGACATAAAATAGCACAACAGATGCAAAGTTTAGCATCATTAGCAGCTAAAAAATAGCCAGAGCTTATATGCTCACAGTGCTTAAAAAGCTGTTTTCGTCTATTTTCTTATTTTACAATAGCAATCTTAAAAAGACTCAGATGCTATAAAGGTGTAAGGAGTAAGCTCCTAATTAGTTTAAATCCAGATCAGTTGGTCCTAGAGCTAATCAGACCAATTAAGCAGTCCAGTTCTGTCATAAAACCCCTCCTGCCTAAAAAAAAATAGTTTTATAATAACCCTGATTCACCATTTAAAACATTTCACATTTCTTCATGATTTTTTATTTACACACAAGCAGATGATTAGTCAGAGGAATTAAAATAGGAGGTGGCACACCACTAATGGTCCTCCTGCATGACACATACCAATACTAAGATGGAATAAGCTCTATTTTTGCAGGACCTAAAATAATATGAACTTAAACCACAAAAATACTGCTGCTTGTCTTTCTGCTTTAACTCTATACCAGATACTTTACTCCAGGGCAACAGAGAACAGCATCCCATGACCCTGCTATTATATAAATGCAAATACAACCACATTCAGGCTGCTCTTCTTGTGCACTTATTTGGCACTGCTTCTTCAATTGTAGTTTGTATTGTAAAGCTGAATGTGACAGTACATTAGTAAATTCAGAAAAATACACTTTTGAGATTAAAACAGTTTTTATGACTCAAAACCTTGTAATCATAAGGGGAACTGCAGAAAAGATCTAGATCTTTTTTTCACCAGATTGTTCAATCTGGTGAGAAATTTAGTTTAAAAGACGATTAAAAAAAGGAACGCTAAGCACTTTAAAAAATGTTTGTTAAAATACCCGTATTTTATAATAGTAAGTTATTTAATTTAACTCCTATTGCTAGATGATGTCATTTTGTTGATTACAATAATCTCTTTTTGTTCAAAAATTATTTTCAAGTGATTTTGTTACACCCCTAAAGATAAATGTGTTATTGAGATATTAAAATATCAATTGTTTCACATTCTGATTTATCTCCAGTTATTTTTGTTGCATTGTCACTTTTAATATTTCATTTATAATCCTTATCACTTCTCCTCTCCTTTCGGCTGCTCATTCCTCTCTCTACCCCTTGTAGTTTGGTTACCTGTCTCAGGTTGCGGGTCACTTTGACGTCGTGCCAGGCGTTGTCGTTGAACTTGCCGTTGACGGGCTCCACCAGGGCTTCGAAGGCCCCAGAGCCCAGATTAATGACAAGGGACACCGCCCCGTTCTTTAGCGCCAGGTTCACATAGTCTGCTGACTTGCCCGTGTGCAGCATCAGGCCGTTGCGCTGGAGCGTCTTGAAGGAAAGCGTGATTTCATCACTGCTGGATTGGATGGGGTTTGGCGACAAGTCGTAGCAGAAGTACTCAGAGCCTTTGAAGGTGGCGACATACTCCTCACGAGCTATAAAGAGAAGCAAGTGGGAGAAAAGAAGAACAAATAAGTTTGTAAATGTTTCAGGGTTGTTGAACAATATTCTGATGATTGGCACATTATCTCAGGTATAGAGTGTCTGCCTACACTGCTCTCACTGGGAAAGAAAATGGTGGGCGTTCATCAGAGCCAGTCGAGTAAAACAAATCTCAGTTGGGTGGTTAAATTTGCTTCCAATGCTCAGTACAAAAACATATTCCTTAAGATGCTGAAAATGTTGTTATTGTCAAGCAAAGCCGCAATGATGCCAGCAGTAGGAAGAAACACTTCCTTCAGTACCTCTAATCGCACCATGGAGTGGTGGGTAAACAAGCTTTGATCAGTCATGTGGGTTAGAGATTAAACAGTGTGGATATGAGCGAGACAGTCGTGAGAGTAGAGCGTTCCAAAGTCGTTATGAAACCTGCCACGCTCTCTTTTGAGAGAACAGCTGTGCTGGCAGTCGGAAAGTGATGTGGTCTTATTTGACAACATGCCTCGTTTCTTGAATTTGGAAAAAAAATAAAAAAGATTTGGTGCAAGTATGTGTGGTACGCAGTCAAGGTTTGGAGGAATCTGATTAGGTTGGAGAAAAATGTTTCTGGAAAAGGAGAAGAGCAGCCTGCAAGCAGCATGTCAGCCAAAGCCAATTATAGTCCCTTGCAAATATATTCACTTTTTTACATTTAATTAAATTGCCAAAAATGTGCAGATTTTTGTGGATTTTACGCCACAAATAGAATACAGAATAAACATAAACATTAACTCATACATGTTAAATAAAAAGCCTCATGAGGCCATGGAGAAGGTTGTGTAGACTTGGACACTATACAGAGCTCTGTTTTAGTATGGTGCAGCTGGAAACCTACCAAAAACATCATTAACTATATTAGCCTATACTGACATTCCAGGCAAGACATTAGAAAAGCAGTCGAAATACCCCTGATTACTCTGACAGAGCTTCAGATATCCATGGCTCACATAGAAAATCTTTTGAGAGTATAACTGTAAGTCTTGCAATTTTCCAATCTGAGATTTGGTGAAAAGAGCCAAAAAGAAAACCATTGTTGGAAGAAAGTCATAAGAATAAAACGTCCTATTTACAGTTTCCAGCAAAGAAGACACTGTAAACATGTGGATAAGGGTGCTCTACCTAGATCAGATTAAAACTGGATGATCTTCCATTGATTTAAGAAAGCTTTGTGCAACAAAAAGAAAACAATGCAAAGCTTAAAGGAAAAAAAGCATTTTCTGAAAAAGGGATTTTTTTTTTTTAGTTTTTGAGTAGGAAGAGTGATTGTTTGAGTAAGACTAGGAGCAAATCTCCAGAGCAATCAATATAGAGGGTGGAGCTCGAATAAAAATTAAGTTCAAATTCTTTTTGGTCATCTTTGCTGTGCTGATAAGGTTTTTGAAGAACTTGACTCCTGTTTATGGTAAAGTAAGAAACCAAACTGATCTAACCTGAACACTAATTGGAAAAAAAAATTAATCTTTAAAACAGCTCAAAAGAATATCTATTACTTCCTTTGAGAGGGACAAGATGTTATCTGTTTCTGAGTGAAGTTGACTTCAACTTGAGCACTTCAACTTGGAAGATCTATTCTAGAGAGACATAAATTTTCATGCCTCAATTAACAAACATTTAAAATGCACATTTAAAATGCATTGAGAATAACACGTTTTTAATAATGTCTGATGGTTATTGTGATACATTGTGATTAACACACACGCCGCACTTGAGAGCTTCATAAATTATTTTTAAATCAATATATCTTTTTCCTTCCACTTTAGAAATGTGCGTAACCTTGCGTTAGTGTATCACATAAAAACCCAGAAACATAGATTGCATCTTACAGTTTAAATGTGACGAAATATAAAAATACATAAATAAATAAATTAAGCAGTATGAATAATTTTGCAAGGTGGTATAGATTTCCGAGAACCAGGCATCCAGCCAATGGAAACTTACCTTGAACACCCTCTGTGACCTCCAAGGACATTAAACCAAGGTTTTGCAATCTATCATACTTAAGCTCACATTCACTTATCTGCTCTCACACCTACTCACACATCAATGCATAGCAAGCAGGAAAAAAAAACATGCACTGCAGAACAAAAAGACAAAACGAGTGCATAAACAAGCAAGAGATGACATTATCTCTCCTCCACCAAAGCATCACGCTTCCTCTGCATCCTAATATCTCTCACACCCTCCTCTTGGCCTCCTGCCTCCATTCCCCCTTCACACATCTTGTTGGCCTCTTATTTTCTTTCATTTTTTAACTCTATTTTCTAAGGAGCCTCTGGCACAACCACCATCTTGTAGCTTGCAATAACTGAAGAACAAAGGAGAATTTAACACCGACCAGGTGAAGCCGGAGAAAGACAGACAGCTGTAGAGTCCAGGGGTAGAAAGCATTGCCATATAATGAATAGGCTGAAGTGTATCAGGTTATTAAGGTTGTGAGAGGAGGAGAGAGGACTGCTGGAATGGAATTGGAGGCACTCAAGTGAATGTAACGCAAAAAGAATAATGAGGGGGAAAAAGTGAGAATATATCACAATTCAAGGGCCAAACTGTGGCAAATTGTCTTTCTGCTGCATAAAAAACAAAACAAAAAAAACAACAACCCAGAGTGTGAATGCCAATATACAAGTGAGAAACAACACGTTGTTTGCCAGCATGTGTGAGAGTTCCTCTGGTGTGTGACTCCTTCCCTCCCAGCATGTTAATTAAGACGGGGAGTGTGTGTGTGTGTGTGTGTGTGTGTGTGTAAGTGTGTGCGCCTGCAGTAGAAAATATTCTGGGCAATTCTGCATTTAGTGTGTGCATGGGAAACTATATATTACTATATGTGTGAGTTAAATGTGTGTGGGAGTGGGTAGGTGCTGGTCTCTGTAAATATTGGTGTATAGTTGTCAGAAAAGCTATTACCAACTCAGGGCCTCGGGCTAGTCTTTACTGAGAGAGTCGGGGAAAGGAAGGGCGGGAGAAGAGAAAGCACAAAAACACACAATCAGAAAGAAACAACAACTAGCTATGTTAGCGTAATCACCTAAACACACACGCTTAGAAAAATTTAGATAAGATGTCACCTAGAGAAAGGAGGAAAAACGAGAGGGCAGCGTGTTTTCAATAAGGACACACGCAGGCGTCTAGCGGCTTTCACGCGGTAATTTACGGAGGTACTGTTAGGTTTTAGTGCGGTGCTGTTGTTAATTTACCGACACGTCATTAGAGCAGACAGGAGAACATAAAACATCTCCCCATCGATCTGAACGTTCTTGTTGTTACATCACACGTGTAAACCAGGCAGGAAATGCATACGTGGGGTTACGCAAACACAAAGGTCATGTGTCTAGCATGCATCTAAAAGCGCAAAGAAACGTCCCCTCCCTTTCATCTCTCTCAAGTGGGCAGGTTGGAGTGGATCTGTTGTAGCTCAGATTAATGGAGTGAGTCAGTATTAGCTCAGAGTAAACAGTGAAGCAGACATACACATACACCACATGTCACACTTCATCCTGTGGAAAGCACTGTCGATCAAACCCAGGGAGCTGGAGGAGGGACAAATACAGTCAAACTGACACTGAAAAATTACATTATAAGAATGATAAATGGGAGAAAATACACATTTCCTAAATGTAATAATTTGCAAAACATATTCTTCCAGTCCCTAGACTCTTAGGTTTAAGTAGCACATCTTTATCAAGTTGATGGAAAACAATATTAAGACTTATTTACTTTAATGCTCCTACATAATGTCTACTGCACCACCCAAATGCCTTCAACTTTCCCCTAATCAGTAAAGAAAGTCCACCTGTACATTCTGTAAAAGTCTCCTTGGAGAAGATTAGTGAACAAAAATCATCATGAAGTTAAAGAAATGGTAGACGGCTTAGGGATAAAGACATTTCCATCCACCAAAACCCACACATCAGACAGGAAGGCACTGATCAGAGAAGCAGCCAAGAAATCCACAGCTCAGGTAGGAAAATCTGTGGACAAGATTACTAGTTGGAACCCTAATAAATCTGCCCCTTGTGGAAGAGTGGTAAGGAGAAATCACTGTTTAAATAAAGGCATAAAAAGTCAGTTTAGAGAATACCACAAGCCATTCAGAGGACAAAGAGATAGTAGGACAGTGATTGGGTCAGATTAACCTAACAATGACCTTTTTTAGAGGTAAATTTCAAAAGCTACACATAATATTAAAACAACACTGAAAAGTGTCATCGTGATAACTGAAGGGTCATCTTACAGTATGGAAATGCTCTCACACTTCCGAGCAGAAAGATTAAAATCACATAATATTAGGGCTGTAGGATTCTAGAAAATGCTTGGTAAGTATTATGATACTATCAGCTGTGATATGAGCTTATCTTATTTTTTCCTCTTTTTTACATCTGTGCTTTCATTACTCTGAGACCTTCCCGATTACCAGCAAAGTCATTGTGAGCATCTGCTGCAGAGAGTTTGGCAAAATACTGTAATAGGGCCATAAGGTTATAAGAATGAAAAATGCAAGTTCATAACACTTCAAATATCTCAGCTAACGTTTTTGCACTCTAAAAAGTCTTTTACAAAATTTAAATTGCACAAAATGATATAGTAATATCAAAATGTTTGTGATTGGTTGTGCAGCAGTAGAGGGTCTCATATATGTGTTGGAATGGACTAAGCAAAGTCCAGTCCTGGATCCAGTTAGGAAGGTGCGGCAAAACATAAATAATAATAAAACACGCACTCCATTCTGCTAGACTGAGCTTTTAATAATTAGAAATTTCACATTTACACATTTAAATGTGTAAAAGTGGTAAAGATGTACAAACGATTTGCAGCTACAATTTATTTTATTTTTTTTATGCAAAGCACTGACTTCAGGGGGTGAATGCAAATGCATGCCTTTGGGAATCAGAAGCACAAACATGTCGACCAAACTCAGATTAATGTTAAAAGAAAAATTGGGAAATAATGTATCCTAAAA